GTCTCCACCTGGCCCCCATGCCTTCTAAATTCACATTTCTTGTCTAGTGTTTTCACTTGTGCGTCGGCCCCTCCTTCAGATCCTGAACGCCTGCAGGTGTGCATATTTAAATTTTTGGTGCGTGCCTTCCTCTCTCCTAGCTGTCACTGTAGGTTTCTATTTTTACAAGTATTATAAAACAGATTCACCTAAACCAGTGGTCGGCAAACTCATTAGTCAACAGAGTCAATTATCAACAGTAAAAGGATTGGAATTTCTTTTAAGAGCCAAATTTTTTAAACTTAAACTTCTTCTAATGCCACTGCTTCAAAATAGACTTGCTCAGGCCGTGGTATTTTGTGGAAGAGCCACACTCAAGTGGCCAAAGAGCCACATGTGGCTCATGAGCTGCAGTTTGCAGACCAAGGGCCTAAACCTTTGGAGCAGTAATCGCCAACCACTGGTGGGTCCATGAGGTCCGAAAGGTTGGCGACCATTGTTTTAATGGAGCACCTTGGAGAAAAAGGTGCTCACACTATTTACTTCATTAAAAGATGCAGGATGCAGTGGAATGCTCATTCTTGGCAAGGAAACTCCACTCAAACTTTTTGAAGACAGTGTTAGTCCCCAGGCCCCAACTTACCGACTCAATGTCTTGGATCATCAGCTGTATCCCCATCTCTGCTTTGATACAGAGCCTGCTCCCATTTAGAACTTGATAAACCCCAGTCTTGGCTGGTGATGGCTGAGGTGCCAGGGTGGGCCCTGGAGCCATGGTGGCAGGTGAGGCTGTGTGGGTGGCATTGTGTGCAGCTGGGGTTGTGACCAGGGCACGGGTGGGTTGAGTGGGCTTCTGAGTAGTTGTGTTGATGTGTGGTGAGGTGGACAAAGTGGCTGGAAGGGTGGTCTGGCTACTGGATTCGGTGGTCTTCCCAGTTGTGTGGCTGACAGTCAATGGGCTGGGTCTAGTTGTGTGGGCTGGTGGGGTGACAGTGGGGGGCAGTGAACCAGGAGCTGTACTGGGGCCGATGGTAGCCTCGGTGACCGGAGCAGCCGTGTGTGAGTTGTTGGGTGTGGCCAGGGTTGTGCCCAGAGTGTGGATTTCTGGGCTGGTGGATGGGGTGCTGCTGGTAGTTATCAGGGAGGTTGTTGTTAGAGTTTTTATTGTTGTGTGTGTGGTTGGGGTCTCGGATTTAGAGGTTGTGGCAGTGGTTTGAGAGGGGACGTGACCACCCGTTGAGCTTGCTGCTGCAGTGCTGTGGGGCACGTGGCTGGTCAGTTGCAGGAAAGGAGGTTTTGCCGTGGCCTGTGCCGCTGCTCCTCTGGTAGGCTGAGAAGAGCCTGTGATTTCTGGAAACCCCGTTGCTCTCACTTGACTGCCATGATGCAACATCACTGCAAATTGGGGAACAAAAGGGAGAACTCTCAGCTAACAGCTCTTCCCCCAATCTTCATTAAAAATCAACATGCATATTTCCAGATTTGGGGGAAAGTTAAAAGCATGTAACAGGCCAGGGAAGATCACCTGAGATTCTACCACAAGGCCCAACTGTGATGTTTTGGTGGTACCCAGGTGTCTTCTCTATCCAACCTCCCTTGTCTAGATGGGATGTGGTACTAGCACACCAAGTGATCACACTCAGCAACACAGCTAAGTGTCCATTCTTCATTTCCCATCTTCACCTGGGAAGAGTGTTCCTGGTTAGAGTGCAGCTATGTTGACCTGATTCCACTGGGGCAGTGTGAAGAATGGTAATAAAGAGACACAGAGTTGTATAGTTTGCATAAAACCATATAATCCCAGATTCAAAAGGGGTTTTAAAGATCTTCTAGTTCAAACCCTAATTAAATTGAACTGATGAGTGGCCATGTGTTCATCTGCTCTGTGCTTATTACCTCCAATGATGGGAGACACAGTACCCTTTCATCTTTTATCTTGCCACCAGTTTTTCTAAATATAGGTCATTTCCTGTGATTTCCTTACTTAACCTCTGAGTGGCCTAGCCTTTCTCAAGTTAGTTAGAAAGAAAATTAAGCCATCATGGCTTTGATACACCTGGTGGGCTATCCTTCCTGTTTTGGCGTATAATCATTACCTAAAGGTAAGTCATAAGTAAAAGTACAAAATAATAACAATAATACAAATAAATAATATGATAACTAATCTATACTAATAAAAGGGTAATATACTAATTAGACCAGGAGACCTTCTGGGGAACCTTCCAGATGTCCTTCCAGACAAAGCCATGGTGGCAGGGCTGATGCAGAGGTGGTTAGGGGTAATCAGACCAGGAAGGGAGGGCAGTTGGGGACCAGCAGGCTGGCAGGCAGAGTGCTTAGGGGTGATCAGGCAGGCACGCAGGTGAGTGGTTAGTAGCCAGTGGTCCCGGATTACCAGATTGTGAGAGGGATGTCCAACTGCTGGTTCAGACCTGATACCTGTGGGATCAGGCCTGAACCGGCAATTGGACAACCCCCAGGGGGTTCTAGATTAGAGAGGATGCAAGCCAGGCTGAGAGACACCCCCTTGTGCACGAATTTTGTGCACCAGGCCACTAGTAAATAAATAATAATGCAAGAATAAACTGTGTTTTGCATAATTAAAACTATCAATCTATCTTGCCTGCTCTGTATGTAAGCTCCTCAGAGTCCTCCCTGACCCCTTTCTGTAAACTAGCCTCCCATTCCGTGATTCCACCACAGAGTTATATTTGTTGCTTCTCTGTATTGATCACAACTTGTAATTCTATAAGGGGATAGAATACAAATATTTAACGATAAGCCTGGCCAGACAGAGTGTGTGTTCCAGCAGAATATCAGCTGTGGTTAAATGTTTACTTATTGACTTATTTGTTGATTGCACATCTCTCCCACTGGATTAAAAGCAATCTCGAGGTGGGAACTGTGCGTGTTTTTTCACCACAGTGTCTGTGCATGGGAGCATTCTGTGGATCACACCTCATTCATCTTCACAATTCACTGTTCTCCGATGGTCTCAGGCTCTCCAGCAGCGGTTTTCAACCTGCGGGTCGCGACCCACAGGGTGAGAACTGCTAGCAGGGTCGCCTGAGACCATCGGAAAACACTGCTATTTACATTATGATTCATTAACAGTAGCAACATTGCAGTTATGAAGCAGCAATGAAAATAATTTTATGGTTAGGGGTCGCCACAACATGAGGAACTGTATTAAAGGGTCGTGGCATTAGAAAGGTTGAGAAACACTGACTTAGAGGAAAAGCAAGACTTGGGGTGCTTTCCCCAGACAATGTAGCAAGAGCCCCACTGCTGAGTCCCAGCTCTGGTCTCTCTCTCTCTCTCTCTCTCTCTCTCTCTCTCTCTCTCTCTCTCTCTCTCTCTCTCTCTAATATATTTTATTGATTTTTTACAGTGAGGAAGGAGAGGGATAGAAGGCTAGAAACATTGATGAGAGAGAGACATTGACCAGCTGCCTCCTGCACACCCCCCACTGGGGATGTACCCACAACCAATGTACATGCCCTTGACCAGAATCGAACCTGGGACCCCTCAGTCTGCAGACCAACGCTCTATCCACTGAGCCAAACCGGTTTCGGCTGGTCTCCCTCTCTTAAATTAAGTGATCTCTACAGACTCTCCCTGAGAAAGTGCTCCAAACCCATCTGGGAACCAGGGCCAGTGTCACTGTATTCCGGGATTGCCACCTGCTCTGCCCCAGGCACAGAAAACAAGTGCACACATGGAAGCCCTTGGAAACCACGAGGCGTGCCCGCCTGTGTAAGCTAGCAAGGAGACAAGACGCTGGGAGCCACAAACCCACCGTCACGGACGCTACCATTGCTCCCAGTCTGTCCTGTCCTGCCTGGGTCAGTGGCACCAAAATGCAGTTAGGACCAGGCATGGCAGGGTCCCTGTGCAAAAACATGCATGTCACTCACCGGCCAGGGACAGGAGGAGCGCCATCGCTGCAGGGAGCTGCCAGGGCATGGCTGGGAGCCCAGGCCGGGGACTCCGCGGGCTGGGGCTGCTGCTCTGCCACCTGGCTCAGCACAGCTGGGCTTTCTGAGTGGCCCGAGGCTGATTCCAGGCCAGCTTCCTCCTTCAAGTGGTTTACATAGTGAGAAGTAGCTGAAAGGCCCTCCCCAGTGGGGAGGGAACCACAAGTGGCCCTGGGGAGAAAGCAGGCACTTCCATCTCAAGCTCTAGGGTTTGTGAGGGTGGGGGATGGGGTGTGGGCACCTGAGATCGTATCTCCACCAGAGGTGGGAACCTGGGCACCTGCCCATTCTCCCTTTCAGTGGGTCTTCATTTTCCTTAAGACCTGGAATTAAGCCAGAGACGCCTCTCAGCCAGGAGTCAGTCAGTCCCTCCGTCATGAGGGTGGGCAGGAGCCTTATAAAGCTCAGTGGTTAGAGCACGGCCCGTCTCCGTGTGCTCACTAAATGTCTGAGGCAGCCACGGCCGCCTTCCCCGGAGCCTCCCCTGGTGAGGAGCAGGAGAAGCTGAGCTTGGAGTCAGGGAGATGTGGGTTAGAGCTTGGCCTTTGCAACCCCCCAGCTGTAGGACCTTGAGTGACCCCTAGGAGCCTCAGTTTCTCCTGCTGGGTAATGGAGAACATAGTGCCTGCTCCCAGGTGGTTTAACAAACCCAAAGTTCCTGGAATACAAAATCTGCTCAGGATCTTTGAGAGGCAACCTTTTCATGTCTTACAGCCTTCCTCTGTTAAATTAGACAAAACAAAGGAGGATTATCTCTCAGGCCTATGAGTCTGAGTGAAGAATATACATCCACAGCCTATAGCATTATTATCAGTGGGATGAGATCAACACAATACAGAGGTGTGTGTGTGTGTGTGTGTGTGTGTGTGTGACAATTCATCCCATAACAACGGTCTGTCTCGTTAAATGTTCTGTGTGCACTTAAGAAAACTGTTGCTGGAAAGGGGCCCTGGTCCTGAGCGGTTCTGCTAGGCTGGCTGGTAGTGTGTGGCTGCTTGACTTCATGCAGAAAGCATCTCACAACCTGAGTCCAGGTGAGTTTTAGAGGACCTTTACGAAGGTAGGGACAGTGAAACAAGGAAGAGCCTAGGACAGAAGAAGCAACCGGAGAGGGACTAGGTGGGGAAATGAGCTCAGGCTGGGCTCACGGAGAAGTCAGAGAAAGGGGGCCTTAGAGACAGGGTCAGGGGGTAAGCCTGGGATGAGCTTCCGCTGCCCATTGCTTCCCTGGTTACAAGTCTCGTCTGGACCCTGAAAGTTCAGGAGATCTGTGTCCGTGGGAGAAGAAGCAGAGGAAAGATGAAGGGGAAGGACATGTTTTTCCTTAAATTTCAGGTTAGATGTTGCCCTGTGAACTCAGCTCTCTCTTGAGTTCAAGAAAAGTTGTGAATGTGTGTATTTTCCAGATTTTTTAATATCTTGCAAGCATGGAGATAGTACTCCTTCCAGCTTTCTACATCTCAAGCAGGAGATACTATTTTTCACAGCAGCATGGAGTTCCAATTTATATCAGAACAATACTTTATTAACCAGCTTTTTATTATTTAATAGTATATCTGTTACCCATTGTTGCTTAACAAATAACCCCAGAACTTAGCAGCTTAAGCCAAACATCTATCATCTCATGTTTCCCCGGTCATGAGTTCACAAACAGCTTGGCTGGGTCCTTCTGGCTCTGGGTCTCTCCTGAGGTTTCAGCCAAGAAATCAGCTGGAGCCGACGCGGCAGGGAGGCCTGGCTGGGGCAGGAGAGCCCGCCTCCCGGGCGGCTCGTTCACGTGGCTGTGGGCGGGCGAGGGGCTTCGGTTCCTGCGTGTGGGTCTCGTCACGGGGCAGCTTCAGCGTCTTCTCAACACGGCAGCTGGCCTCTTCCACAGTGACTAACTCAAGAGGCAGAATGAGGAAGAAGGCAAAATACTTTTTATAACCCAGTCATGAAAGTCTGTACCTTCACTTCCACCACATTCTATTGATCAGAGTCACTGCTACTGCCCACACTCAAAGGGAGGAGTACCAATCTGGGGATGAGTTTTAACACTACCACAGACTTTTAGGCTGTCCTCCATCTTCCGCTACCTGCTTTCCCATTAAGAGCAAGGTGGAAACGTACACCTGTGTATATCTATATATCTTTGTTGATTTGTTTACCATTAAAATAAATTCTTAGAGGTGGAATTGCTAGATCAAATCATATATGTATTTTAAATTTTGATAGTCATTGCAAATCGTTTCCTAAAATCTAGTACTAATTTATACCCTCACCAGTGGTGTGTGACAGTAATGGTTTTGTTATAGTCTCTCCAATACTGGAGGTTATCAAAGTTTTAAATGTTGGACTGTCTGTTAATGAAAAAAGATTATCTTATTGTTTTGCTGCTTTTTGTATTTTTATTGGATTTTAAATTTCTTTCCTGTGTATATTCATGTCTTTTGCCCATTTCTTTTTCTGTTGTTGTTATTATCTACACTAATAAAAGAGAAATATGCAAAATGACTATATATCTGTAACACCCACCAGCCAATCAGGAATGAGAATGCAAATTAACCCACCAAAGATGGTAGCTTAATTTGCATACACAGGCCCGGCACAATGATTGAAGGCTCCAGCCTGAGTGAAGACTGAATATTAAAGACTGAAGACTGAATATTAAAGACTGAAGACTGAATATTAAAGACTGAATATTAAAGACTGAAGATTGAAGACTAAAGAGCCTTGGCTTCTCCACTGAGGCTGGAGCGAAGGCCTGGGTCTCAGGTGCCAGAGGAAAATCGGTGCAGAAGTCAGGGGAAGGAAGGCCTATTGCATGAATCTTCGTGCAACAGGCCTCTAGTCTATATATATAAAAGGCTAATATGCAAAGTGTCCCCTTGGGAGTTTGACCAGAAGGAGTTCAATTGATCGCTATGATGTGTGCCAGCCCCCAGGGGGCAGTGCAGAACATGGCGGGAGACCAGCAGCAGTGGGGTGCTGAGGGAGGGAGGGATGGAAGAGGTGGGGAGGTGGGGAGGCGGGGAGGTGAGGAGAAGGGGAACTTGATCAGCCCTAATTGCCAGCCAGGCCTAGAGAGCCTACCCGTGCATGTATTTTGTGCACCAGGCCTCTAGTTGTTATCTTTATGTACCAAGGAAATAGTGCAATATGTCTTAAAAATGTATTATGGCCCTGACCAGGTGGTTCAATTGGTTGGAGAGTTGTCCTGTGCACCAAAATGTTGCGGGTTTAATTCCCTGTCAGGGCACATGCCTACATTACAGGTTCGATCCTTGGTTGAGGCACATACAGGAGGCAACAGATCGATGGATCCATGCCTCTCTCTCTCTTCCGCAACCTTCCTCTCTCTCTTAAACAAAAACAACAAGTAAACATCCTCAGGTGAGGTTTAAGAAAATGTATTTATGATTTGACTTTTTGTCCTTTATTCTACATATAAGTTTTTGCTTCTTACATACCCCATTAATCAAAATTTTCTTTTAGTTTTCTTACAGTTTTTGTCTGGAAAGACTTTACCCTATTCAACATTATATTTTGAATGCTTTGACTTTCATGGTTCCTTTAAGCCACATGTTTGGACAATATGAATTATGTTGAGGGCTGAGGTAAACACTGTTTTTTCCACATTGCTATCCAAGGATCCCAGCAACACTGTCACACATAATTCATCTTTCTTTGTTTTTGTCGTTCAGAACTAATTTGAAATGCCTCTTTCCATACTCTAAACTCTGGGATGTATTTGGGTTTCATTTCAAGATTTTTATACTCTGTTCCTATTCCCACTGCCCAGTGAAGTCCTCACTTAATGTCAGAAATAGGTTCTTGGAAACTTCAACTTTATTTTAGCAGAGGCTCATTGATATTAAACAAGAGTTTAGTCCCTATGACATACTTCTGGTTACAGAAACATCACAAAACTTCTAAACAAAGACCCCAAATACTTCTAATGTTAAAGACTAAATGCGAACTATGCATACATTTAAGAAAGATGAATAAAAACATCACAAAGCTTCTAAATAAAGACCCCAAATACTTCCAATGTTAAGGATTAAGATAAATGTGAACTACACATACATTTAGGAAAGATGAGTAAAAACAAGGAAGATAATTATTTCCCAGTGCAGGGTGGAGGGGTCTGGAGCCTACCCTGCAGCTCAGGGTGCAAAGCAGGAGCCGGCCCCGGACAGGACGCTCTTCCACCGCAGGACAGACTCATACACACCTGTCCTCACTCCGACTGGGCGACTTACTATGTTTTTATTGGTTTTAGAGAGAGAGGAACATGGATGAGAGAAACAGCAATTGGCTGCCTCCTGCACGTGCCCTGACTGGGAACCAAACCAGCATGGGACAAGGCTCAACCAACTGAGCCATACCAGCCAGGGGCTGGGACAGTTTAGATACCTCACCTCATGTGCAAATCTTTGGGATGGGGAGGAGACCAGAGTACCTAGAGAAAACCCACGCAGAGATGGGAGAATGTGCAGACTCCAAACAAACAGTGGCCCAGGGGCAGGAATCGATTTTTCTTTTTTCTTTTTTAACAACATCAGTGACACAACATTGAATGAAACATTGTTTGAAGACCCGCTGTATATGTACTCTGGCAAATGAAAATATTATGATATAAACCTATAGTTTTTGCTGCTTTAATAGCCACATTCAAAAAATTTATCCATAAATAACAACTGCAAGCAGATTAGAGAAGCAATTGGTATTTTATAGAGAACCAGTGAAACTGTGTTTGATAAAGCTTTCTATCCTCATCTGACAATAAACTTGGAACTCAAGAGGCACTTCATACACGATGAAGGGGTAAGCAATGCTAATGTGGCCATTGGAATCCTGGGTACGAGTTGGGAGACCCGGGTTCTAGTCCCTGCTCTGCTGCAGGCTGGCTGGGTGACGCCGGCACACAGTAATAAAATCGCAAGCGGGCAATGTCCTCCTCGCTACACCCCCAGCCCTTCTGGCAGCTGCTGTGGCCATGCAGCCAGGCTTTCACTAAAGGAAGAGAAGGTGTGTGCCGTCTGCGGAGGGCGGGCCTTCCAACGTTGCCCGTGCCATAATGCCAAGTTCTCCCTGCTTGCTGCGAGTGGGAATCAGACCCTCTCAGACTTGCTTTGGACTCTGCAGCCAAGGACTATGTTCTAGGGGATGATGGGAAAACCAGAAGGAAGGAACCTGAGACACCAGATGACCACTGCAGGGGGCCACGTGGCCTGCATACCCAGCCAGGGCTGTTTTATGAGAAAGCATATTCTTTTTTTTAAAAAAAATATTTTATTGATTTTTTTACAGAGAGGAAGGGAGAGGGATAAAGAGCTAGAAACATTGATGAGAAAGAAACATTGACCAGCTGCCTCCTGCACACCCCCTACCAAGGATGTGCACACAACCAAGGTACATGCCCTTGACCAGAATCAAACCTGGGACCTTTCAGTCCGCTCTAGCCACTGAGCCAAACCAGTTTCAGCAAGAAAGGATATTCTTTCAGTCACTATATTGCTTGGTCTTTTTGTTACAACAGCTTAACCTCTCCCTTTACCCGTGATGTTATAGTCCACAAAAAAAGGGGTTCAAATAAGCTTGGGAGATGATGAGCTTAACAAAAGTATACACACTTTCTTTCTGCAAGAGTCCTCAGATCCTTTACTCTACTGGAACCAGCTGAGAGAGGAACAGACTATCATGTTTTAAAAATGTATTTATTATTGGATAATTTTGTTGCTAAACCCTTACACTCTTCTACCTATTCTACAAAGTGCATTCTGGGAAATGCTGGTGTAGAGAATCTGTGTTTCTAATTATTTCCTAATGCACAGCTGGTGTTTAGTGTGGACTCAGACTCCCGCCAGGTTTTAAGGACTCTGCTTCAGCCAAAGCACTCGCATTGAAATCTGGGTCCCTCTAGTGGGCAACAGGCAACACTGTAAAGCCACGGGTGGTTTGAAGAGGTTGTGAAAGGAGGCTGGAGGATTTTATCCGATGGGTTTGGAGTCTTTTCCATTGATTTAAATGGAAAAATGACACAAACTTCATTCACAGAGAGCCTCCTCCCCCGCCTTTGAGAAGTCCATCTCCTGAGCGAGCAGTGTGTCCAGGCCCTGAGGCAGGGAATGCCGTGCCTTCTGGGGACCTACTATGGATCTATCATGGCTTTACGAGAATTATTCCACTGTTCCCTTCCCACCCCACCGTCCACCACGAGCCCAGTTTCCTCTCAGAGGACACCTGCCAGCAGAGTAGCAATGTGGGGCATGGGCAAGGAGGCCAATGGGAGGCCAGAGAGGACCACCCAGAGCATGTAGGGGAGGCATCTGGGAACGCCAGCCAGCCACGAGGCCTGGCATGGCACTGGCTCCTCTGGCAGCCGCCCCCTCCCCCCTGGGATGTAAGGCTTGTGGAGAGGGTCTTGGGGGAGAGGGGGAGGGGCTTGAGCACTTTGTGCTCAGCCAACACGTCAAATGTGATCATTTTCAAAGATTCAGAAAACAATGGTCCAAATGATGGAGAAGGATTTGAGCTGTGTTTCTGTAATCAGTGGCCGGCTAATCAGTGGAAAAGGTGTTTCAGAGTATGCAAGTGATGTGTTCCCTGACGGTTCTAACAGTCAGAACCCCGAGGATTCTTCTGTCCAGCTCTGGTTTTACAGATCCTCACTGAGAAACGCATGTCTTGTGACTGATAATGGGAGAGGCCAAAGCAGAGAAGACTGCCTGTAAGAAGTGTGAAAACATGCCAGCGTAGATTACGCTCTCTTGTGGCTTGGTAGACATGTCCAGTGCTGTTCCTGCAGCAAAAGGCTCTGTGTGCTTTAAAAAATCCCAGGCTGTGACAATAGGGTACTGAAGGCCTTAAAGGGGGATGCAAGAGCTGGAGGGGCTAAATGAGGGAAAAGGGGAGATATGTAATACTTTCAACAGTAAAGAATTATTTTTAAAAATCCCAGTCTGTGGATTCACAAGCTTGGGTTGGGTCTAAATACCTTCCCACCTTTGGGGAGGACATCCCCACCACCCTTCAACGGTTGCTGCGTGCAGGCAGAGGAGGTCAGGGCTGGTTATGCTGGAGCCTAACGAAGTTGCTCTGCAGAACCTCCCTGAGACCCTGCAGTGGCTCTCCTGTGCCTCCTCTGCAGCTGCCCTCACCTGTGAGTCACACCTGACCTCATCTCAAGTCACAGCAGGCTGGTCTCAAGCCCCCTCCTTTCTACATATGTTTAAGAAACTGCAGCAAAAGGTGGAGGTGAGCCCTCAGAGCGTCACACTGCACTGTGAAGATCTGCTTCCACATCTGTCATCCGGCTGTCCTGTTTCTCTCCCCCCCCCCCCCCCCCCCAGCGCTTCTCACTCATCATCACCGCCCCCTCTCTATTGATTGGATCCTGACTGACAAGTTCTAAAGTAAACAATTCTGAAAATGAAATGAGTAAAAATACCGAACAGGAAAAAAAAAAAATTAAAATGGCAAAGACATAGCTGAAAAGAAATAACTAAGAAAATGCAATAATTTAAAACAAAATAACCAAAAAATTTAAATGACAAAAATGTAAAAGCAAAATACCCAGAACCCCAAATAACTAAACAACTGGGAACGTAAGTCACTTGAAAACTAAATAACTAGGAGGAAACCCTAAAATAACTAAAAACATTTTACTCTAAAAAGTATGTCAAATAAAATTCTTAAAACGAAATAAACATTTTACTCTAAAAAGTATGTCAAATAAAATTCTTAAAATGAAATAACTATACGTAACTGAAAATGAGTAACTAAAAAACCAGTCTTTAAAATAAAATCATTATAAACAGGTCACTTGAAAGCTATGACATTAACTGCAAAACTAAAAACTAATAAAACAAAAAATAAATTAATTAAAAAACGAGTACATCTAAACAGAAACACGTCCGAAGTTAACTTGTAACCAGCAAATCCTCTGAAAGGAAACAAGCCTGGAACAAAGTAACGGCCAGCATCACCTTTTCCCGCAGGGCGGGAGCAGCGGCGGCGCAGGGAGGGAGGAGGGAGAGTCTTCGCGGGCGGGTGGAGGGCTCCGGTCCTCAGGTCCTCCCGCTCAGAGGAGCGGTTCTCCGCGGACCCGCCCCCGCTCCCCCCCCCCCGCCCCCCCCCGGAGGACTTAGGCAGCATCTGAGGCAGTTTGTGACCATCACCGTTTGGGCGAGTGGGCGCTGTGGCCCTGCGGGCAGAGGCGAGGCCAGGGATGCTGCTCTCCGTAGACATCCTCGCGCCCAGCCGGTCCCCGGTGGGAACTGGCGGGTTAAACCCTGGGAACCGGGACCCTGGGCGGCCCGTGTCCCAGCGGAGGTCTCCGCGGGTCCGCACCGAGCCCCGCTCCCGCAGGCCCCGGGGAGCGGCGCCGGGTCTCCGTGGCTCCGAGGCCCCCGAGGACGGCCTGGGGCGGCGGTCTGGAAGGAGTGCCAGTTTTCTGGGGAGCCCCCTCCCCCCTCTTCCCTTCGCCAGTCCCCATCCGCCCCGCTGCTCCTGCCCAGACATTAGTCATCTCCCGCAGGGGCGAGACCCCCAGCGCTCTCCATTGCCCAGAAATTCCAAGAAGCAAGTCAGAGAAGCACTGGCTAACACAGTGGTCGGCAAACTGCGGCTCTCGAGCGAGCCACATGCGGCTCTTTGGCCCCTTGAGTGTGGCTCTTCCACAAAATACCACGTGCTCCCGCAGGTACAGTGCGATTGAAACTTCGTGACCCACGTGCAGAAGTCGGTTTTCGGCTCTCAAACACGAAATGTCAATAGTTGTCCTGTTGCTATTTGGCTCTGTGGACTAATGAGGGTGCCGACCCCTGTGCTAATACGTCCGCATACCCACCTTTCCTCCTGGCTCACACTCGCGTGTCCTCCTAATCGTCACCTCCCTTTCCTCCCTGGACGCGCTCCCCAGGGTCCGGAGCAGACTTGGGGGAGCAGGTGTCATCGCTGTTGTCCAACTGGAAAAGGCCGGAGAGCTGGAGGGCGGGGCAGGGTGCACCCTCAGGGTTAGCGGGGTGCCAGGCCAGGCCCACCGCGGATTCCCCGGTCCCCCGCAGAGCGGGTGCACCCCGGATCGCCCACCCGGCCACTCGGGGTCCCCACAGGCGTCCCCCACTCTCGCCAGAAACCAGCGCGGGCTAAGGAGCCGGTGTGGGGGGCGGAGGGGCGGGAGGTCTGAGCCCCTTTGCAGAGGCAGTGGCCTCCCTGGCCCAGGCCTGGTCCTTAAAGGGTGGAGTCAGGGAACGCAGGGCAGGGGGTGGGAGAGGAAGAGGAGGCGGGGAAGCTGCTGACCAGGAACGAGGGAGGGGGAATGGGCCAGAGGTGGCAGGAGATAAATTACCCCCAGAGCGCTGCTCTCCTTCTCCAGGTCTCCTGCCCCTTCGCCTTCTTCAAAGCTTTCCGCGGAGACGCACGCCCCGCGGGAGCAGCCTGCGGGGAGAAGGGGGTACGTGGGCGGGCTGTGGGGGAGAGGGTGGGAGAGGAGGGAGCCCTCCCAGGAGCCCATTCTCCCACCTCTAACCCCTCCCCTCCCGGGCGCACTGCTTCCCCTGGGTGGGGAAGGTGGGTCTGTGATCTCCAGGCTCCCCTTCCAGCTCTGAATTCTGTAACTGAGACTGAGAAGTCGTGTCCAGGCTGCTCCTAGCCCCACCTCCTGTTCTCCCAGAAACAAACAAACAAATAAACAAACAACCACTTTCCCTCTTTTTGTGCCTGACTACCTCTCCACCCGCCTCCCTTTCTTGCTCTTATTTCTCTCCCCTGGTGACTGCCATTTCCTTAGCAGCCGCTGCCAATGTCAGGGCATTGCCCCTGAGGAAAGGGGGGGGGGGGCAGTAGTACATCCCGCCTCTCTCTCCAATGAGTGGGTTAATTAGCCAACAGTCACACTGTGCACCTGCTGTGTGCCCAGGGCTGTGAGATGCCCTGGGGCATGTCAGGACAACTGTGTCAGGGCCTTAGCCCATTTTACAGATGAAGAAACTGAGATACAAGAGGAATAATCACTTAGAGGAATTCCCTTGGCCTGTAGGTAAGCTCGGCTGCTGGAGTCTACAGCATTCCCCCGCTCTGCTCCACTCCGCCCCCAGGCAGGCTGCTGAGGCAGCAGTGATCTCACGTGGCAGCCCCAGGCCAGGGCCAGCCAGTGAGCAGCGGGATCAGGAATCTGAGGGATGGCTGGAGAAGGTCTGTTTGGTGAGAACTCGGAGGGAGGGGGCCGCACACGGGGAGGGAGGCCGTTCTGGGCAGAGCAATGGCCTGGAAGGGGAGCAGAAGGAGCTTGCAGCTGGGGGTGCACTGGAGGCTCGTTATCTGGGGGAGCAGCCAGTGGTCATGTGGGAGGTCCCCAACCTGCTACCCAGAGTCCCCCCAAACTGTGTTTTGGGGCCCAGGGTCCCCCCCAGGGCAGGCCAGTGGGGGCTGTGTGAGCAGCATGGAGCTGCCCTCAGCCCCCCTAGGGGCCTCCAGAAACTCCGGCTTAATTCCTGGTCCCAGCACGTGATAGGGGTGAGGCAGCTGAGAGTCAAATGAGAGACAGGTTCAGGGAGATCCTCCCACCGTCCTCCCTATGTGACTCAGGGGCATCTGCTGTGACCGCTACGGGTGCCTCTGTAGGGCGATCATCCACCCGGGATGCCCATGCCGGGAGCAGACCATGAGAGAATGTCTGTTGGTCCTGCAGGCAGGCTGTAGGGGGGATGGGAGCAGCCAGGCCTTGGACCACCCCCTGGGTGACCCAAAGGGCTGGGTCTCCAGGGTCCATGGTGTAATTGCCCATTCAATGCTGCTTCCAGAGACCAGAAAGCCACCCGCTGGGAGAATGGGGGTGGGGGCTCTGGCCTCCAGCAGCTGTAGAACCCCCACATGGACATGGCTGGAGGCAACTTGGGAACTGAAAGACCTGACAAGTTCCAGCCCCTTCTACTGTGCACCTGAAGGGAGATGCGAATTTTACACCCCAACACAACGCACCCACATACATACATTTATAAAGTGAAACACAAGTTTACGGAACCATGTTACTCTCACAGTGTGTGATGTCTGTATTCTATTCAACGCTCATTATTTAAAAAAAAAATATATATATATATATATATATATATATATATATATATATATATATATATTATTGATTTCAGAGAGGAGGGGAGGGGGAGAAAGGAATAGAAACATCACTGATAAGAGAGAATCATTGATTGGCCGCCTCCGGCATGTCCCCTATTGGGGACTGACACAAAGCTTGGGCATGTGCCCTTGATCACAATTGAACCTGGGACCTTTCAGTTCGCAGGCCGATGCTCTATCCCAGCGTTTTTCAACCGCTGTTCCGCGGCACACTAGTGATGTTGCCTGGTGTGCCGTAGGTGCAGACAAGACAAGAATTTTATAATTTTTCACTATTTTGTTTACTTAATATTTCATAATAAAGTAATTATAAAATACTTTCTTTGTGTTTATTTGATTCCTATTCAAGATAATTACTTTATATATAGTCAATATAGGCACAGAGTTAAATTTTTTAACATTTTCTAATGGTGGTGTGCCTCGTGATTTTTTTCATGAAACAAGTGTGCCTTTGCCCAAAAAAGGTTGAAAAACACTGCTCTATCCACTGAGCCAAACCAGCTAGGGCTCAACAATTATGTTCTATTCTGCCCTACTCTGGGAGATAGAGGAGGAAAGGGGCTGCAGGAGGGAGTGGGTCACCCACAATCATCTCACAAGATCTTTTGAGGGAAAGTTTCTTCTGAGGCCAACTGCAGATGCTCCTCCAGGTGTCTCCCCCAAGGGCCCTGGGCTCTGGGCAGCAGAGACAAACCTCTATCCTCCCCGGACCCCCCGTGACGCCTGGGAGAAGCCAGACTGGGTAGAACCTGGCAAACCTTGGAGAAAGCCCCTCCGTCAGAGCCCCTGGCTTCACAGGGAGGAAGGTGCAGCTCGTGGGCTGCCGTGGCTGAACCTCCGTCACGTCCGCATCTCACCCTTCCCCCTGGGCTCCCTGGCCGCGGGCTCTGTGGCACTCAGAGCCTCAGGTACTGAGCCTTCGGTGCTGCGGAGGTGGCAGCTCGGAGGGGACCCCAGAATCTCGGGCCCGGGGTCTGGCAGGTCACAGGCACATGACCGAACAGCTGAGGCCCCCATTGCCCGGTGGGAGGAGCAGGGGCTTTGGAGTCAGACCCGAGAGCTGGTCTGACTTTGACAAGCGCTCACGACGATGGTGTGATCGCGGGTAAGCCACCTCACTTCTCTGAGCATCAGCTCCTTGTCTCCACAGTGGGGACGAGTTTCTATTCTGTAGGGCTGGTGTGAGAAAAATGTTTACAAATGTCTGGCACATCGTAGGAATTTAATAGGTAACACGGTTGTGATTGTTGTTCATCGTAATTACAAGGATATCACAGAGAAGCTCTCAGAACAGCACTCCGAGAGGCTATTGTTACTCACATTTGGGGGACGTTTGTCTGCCATTGTCTTCATCCTCATAAACATCTGGGGGAGGAAACAAATTATAAAGGTAAATAAATAAATGGCTTTAAAAGGAAACATAGAGCAGCCGAGACCGGTTTGGCTCATTGGCAGAGCGTCGGCCTGGGGACTGAAAGGTCCCAGGTTTGATTCCGGTCAAGGGCATGTACCTTGGTTGCGGGCACATCCCCAGTAGGGGGTGTGCAAGAGGCAGCTGATCGATGACTCTCTCATCAATGTTTCTAACACTCTATCCCTCTCTCTTCCTCTCTGTAAAAAAATAAAAATAAATAAAAAATCAATAAAGTATATTAAAAGGAAACACAGAGCAAACACACACACACACACACACACACACACACACACACCAGAAAAACTACTCCAAACATTTAGGCCCTGGACAGATGTCCAATTTGAGTACAGCCATATTTTAAGTGACGGTTGCCTTCTTAGAAAAATGAGCCGAATGGTACGTTGGCTCCAGTACCAGTTGGCTCACGGCCTGGCAGCATGTCGGGAAGATAGTTCCTAGTTCGTGTGCTGGAATAAGCATAAAGCATGTTGGTGGAGAAGGACAAGAAGGATGGAAAGGTGGGCCATGCTGGGAAGGACTGGGGTGGCTGCTCTCCCGTCAGTGGGCGATCTCTGTAGCACAGAGCACCTACCTCCAAATGGTTTTAGAAATTTAGGCTTAGTTTTAGCACTTAATGTTTAGAACCCTACTCTTTTCGTTTGCTTAAACTACTGAATGAAGTTTTTTAACAAGTGAACCCGTTAGTGAGTTTAAATGTTTTTCGGCAAATCACCAACTTTGGCGATGAAACTATGGCGTTTCCCTTGCTGTCCACTAGATGGCACAAAGGGACCACCGTAGCTCTATCCATCTCGATCACATAAGCTGATGTACATCATTTTCACTTGGGGGATGGAGTGGTGGTGGTGGTGAGAGCTGCCTGGAGGAACACATGTGGGGAACTAGTTGCCAAAGATAATATGTTATGGGGATGGTCCTTAAAAAGCTATGGCAAATTGTAAAGAATAGAGAAAAAAGGCTAGTTTGAAAGAAAAGAAAAAGTTTTCCTTGTGGAGTAGGAGCTGCCTCTGAACTCGCTGGAGCTACAGTGGTCCCTTTGTGCCATCTAGTGGACAGCAGGGAAAAGCCATAGTTTCATTGCCAAGATAATATGCTAACAAAATGCCTAAGTCATCTCATTTAATCCTCACGGGAAGACTGTACAGCATTACCTCCATTTTATAAAATAAATGACGAAAAGACCTTAAGCACAGAGAGGTTACGTAATTCCCCAAAGAGATGGAGCTGGATTTGAGCTGGGTCTGTAAGCTTTCAGTGCTCGAACCCTTAACTGTTGTGCTGTGCTGCTCACCAAGCTCCTTCTTGGCCATCTAGGGGTTAACGCAAGGGGTCACTTTCGGCCTAACCCATCCCAGTGACTCTCCTGAGTTCACAAAGGAGCTCTCTCTAGGGTGTTTCCATGGGTACTAGGCTGGATAGATTCCGTTTGCTCTGTGGCCCTGAGTATGAACTTGGACATCTAGGCCAGTCTATATCTGAAGCTTCCATTTCCTTTGCAAACCTAAAAAGAAGGGAATCACTCCTACGCTTCAATCAATTGTTCTCAGATTTCACATATTTTTGTGGTGGGCCTCCTTCCACCCCTCCCTCCGTCTTTCTCTCCCTCCATCTCTCCTTCCCTCCCACCTTTTTCCCTTTCATGCATTTTCTGTTGCTCAAGTCTCTGCCAGCTTCTAGGAAGTCTGAGCTGGCTGTCTTAGTCTTTCAAAGCTACTAGGAACTGGAGTCAAAGAAATGTTACAACTGGGAAACCACCTCTACCTCAACAACCAGATGCTCTCAAATGTCTGGGCAGGAGTAAGCCTATCGAGGGGTGGTAGGTCAGGAGGACAAGCTGATGTGTCTAGTTGAATTTAGTCAAAGCCTTACCCATTTCCTCAGACATTTGATGTGAATTTTTCAGTAAGACTAAAATACAACCCTCCTCCTCCAATTTGTATGGTTCCATTTTTTTTAAAATATGCATTTTTATAGACAAAATGTCTGAGGTGAAATATTTACAGTGGTTATCTAGGTTATGTCTGATTTGCATTTCTGTATATTTTAAACTTTTAATAACTTACATATATATTCTTTTTATAAGTAGGAAAGGAAATTTAAAATAGTTAAAAACCAATTGGTCAAGCATCTAAAATAACCTGCAGTCTCACCAGAAATGACTGTTTGCCACAACTTATTTTCTTCATCATGAGACTGCATGAAATAATTTTAAACAACAATAAGGTAATAATAAAAATAATGAAAGGAACTACATTATCTAGATCTAAAAGGAAATCTCCCAGGTATCAGCAAACAACCCTTAAGCATTACATCAGAGGGTTTATAGGTATTAAAGCAGTTCTTCTCACCACCCAGACCCTGAGGGACCAGACCAGGGACCCACAATTAGGCCTGCACCCTGCCCAGGGGGAAAGGGGATGCAGGGGGTGGGTGGGTGGGGAGGCTGTGACTTAAAAGGGTTAGTAGACAGGCTCTTCCTCTGATACCTTCGTGGCAGAATGGTCATTTAAACGTTATGTATCCTTCCAGGGCCAAGGCTTTGCAAATCTGGGACAAAAACTGAATTCAGAAATCAGGATTTTTAGCACAACTCAGGCTAGTAAAATACTACTATTGTACTTCATTCTCTTACGTTCACCAGTAGCACCAGGAAGAGCATGCTCATCTGTCCTGTGACTGTTCCTCCTGAAGTTGCTTGGGTTCTCAGGAGAACTTCCACCCTGCGGCCTCCCCCCACCCAGGCCTTACTGCTGCTGGCACGAGGAATCCTATCGCCATGTCCCCCGCCAGTGGAGGAAGCAGTTGCCATCCTGGAGGGACTAACTGATCATCAGAAGGATGTTGGCTGTTACGAGAGGAAGTTGTCTGGCGTCTGGCGTCTGGTGACTCACCCGGATATTTCACAAACTTGCCCTGCCACCACTTGTAACTGTAAATGGGCAAATGAAAAAGAGCTACGGCCAGACAAGAGTCTGGGGCGCCTGCTACACATGTCACTAGCAGAGGGAGAAGGAGGGGTATGTAGAATTAGTGGGAGGGAGATGATGACTGAAAGACAGAACCCAAGGACCAACTGCAACAGCAGGAGGGAGGCAGAGATTTAAGTGGGACTCTTTTTTAAAAAATATATATTTTATTGATTTTTTTTACAGAGAGGAAGGGAGAAGGATAGAGAGTTAGAAACATCGATGAGAGAGAAACATCAATCAGCTGCTTCTTGCACACCCCCTACCGGGGATGTGCCCTCAACCAAGGTACATGCCCTTGACCGGAATCGAACCTGGGACCTTTCAGTCCGCAGGCCGACGCTCTATCCACTGAGCCAAACCGGTTTCGGCTAAGTAGGACTCTTATTCTGCCCCATGGTGGGAATATTCTTCCTGGGAACCACTCCTGCTAGATCTACTGAGACTAAGATGGCAGGGACGGGGAGGACAAATTTCCCATGTGGGTATTTGACAGGAGTGTGACAGTGACTAAAGTCACAACTCATGTGACCTCTTGGCTCCCAGATTCATAGAGTCTGCCTCCTGGGGGCCTGGTGCCATTGGTCCGAGGTTAGCATCCCCTTCTCCCTTTCTCGCAGTGTCGTGCCCAATGCTGCTGCTCGTCCTCGCTTTCCAAAGGCTGCCCCACGGCTCTGTCAGGCTGGCTGCTGGCTACTGGCTGCTTTCGAGCGGGGCGAGGTGCGGTAGGACCGGGGGGTCGATTCTGTGATCTATGCACATGCTGCGACTCTCCAGCGAAGCAATGGAGACACCATGTGAGTCCCTGCAGGGATGCTCACAGCCCCCCATTCTGCTGCCAAGACTTCTCCACTTCGGAGCCCACCGTGCGGGCCCCGGGTGCGGAGGGAGAAGCTGGCTGGTACTTGCTGGCCAAGCCACCCAGTGACCTCGGTTGTTTGGCACCTTTTCTGCAATGGATATTCTCTGGTGGGCATTAATGCATGATTCAAAGATCCTCACAGTTTTGAGCTTATGTCCATATGTCTATGGGTCTCTTCCCAGTCAGACCATGTTGTAATGTGATGTTAGTTATTGTTCTGGAAGAGGTCAGGAGTGTTCTGCATAATCTAGGGGGTGGGGAGGGGAGGGGAGGAGAAGGGTTTATCTTCCAACAAGGGAGAGCAGGCCACTTCTGCCAGCCCATGCAAGCGAGGACATGTACCCACATTCCTCATCCCAAGTTTTAGGGCCCCGTGTCTCTCCTACCAGGGCCTGCCTTCCCTGCTCATCTGTTGGCACTAGGAGCACAATATGATCAGGGAGCAGGAGTGCCTCGGCTGGGAATTCATCCTTCTCTCAAGCACTGTGCTATAGGAGATAGGGGCTGAGCATCGGCAAAGAGGTCCTGTCCGTCTCTCACTGTGCTTCTCAGTTGCTGATTCATCTGAGCCGGTCACTCTTCTCAACGCATCAGTGGGGCTCAGCAATAGCATCCAACCCCACAGTCCTGACAGCTGATATGTCCCCCAAACCTCTCAGACACTGCACCAGCTGGTACATCCCTGCCCATCTACTTCCGATGCCAAGTCACCACAGGTGAAGGTCTAAGCCAGTGGTCGGCAAACCGCAGCTCGCGAGCCACCTGCGGCTCTTTGGCCCCTTGAGTGTGGCTCTTCCACAAAATACCACAGCCTGGGTGGGTCTATTTTGAAGAGGTGGCATTAGAAGAAGTTTAAATTTTAAAAAATTGGGCTCTCCAAAGAAATGTCAATCATACTGTTGATATTTGGCTCTGGTGACGAATGAGTGTGCTGACCACTGGCCTAAGCAAATGGACTGCTACGGCCGGCCAGGAAGCAGAGCTGTCCATAGCACCTGCCACGAACGGTGGGGTGGCCACCAAGGAGCCCAGCACTGGGATCCCATCCCTTCTGGGACCAACCCTGGTGCTAACAGTCTCAGGTCAGGTTTTCCAGAAGCAG